AACCGGGGCCTGTTTTTTTGCCTAGTACTGCCTTCATAGTCAGTACAGAATCAATTCCAGAGTATTCTTTGGTTTTCCATCATTGCTTTTGTCCCTGGTTTACCCGGCCTTCACTTGACTGCTCAGGATCTTGGGGGTTTTTTTCACCCCTCATGATTCTGCATTCTATTCTGCCCGATGTCCTGCAATGAAATAATATGCATTGAGTCCTCTAACTTGCAGACAGCTGCTCATCTCCCCTCCCCTTCTTAACCTACCCTCCTTCATACCCCATAACTGAAACTAGCTATTTATAAAGAATTTCCAAGACCATGGCTGACTGCCACACCGCTTCCCAGAATGGATCATTTCTGCCTTGTTTTTATAGTATACAGTCCTCAGATGTCCCCTTGCAAACCCTTTGCACCAAAACTGTGCTTTGCTTTGGCTTGTTCCACTCATGCTAAACTGCTGTGTATTATTAAAATGCTGCATAATGTGGGCTTTTTTTTTCCTTTAGAGTGAAAAAGCACTTTATGTCATATTGTAGAAACATTTCAAATATTCTACATAAAAAACAGAAAGGACATATAACCTTGGTTCAAAAAGCGGCTGAAAATTTTGAGGTAGGGTATAAGTATTATATGAAAGACATTATTGCCTTTTAAGGTTTTTTACTATAGGAAACTAATCCTGAAATTTTGTTCTAAAGGCAGTTTAACCCATTTACGAAGTGGGGGAAAGGAACTAAAAGAAAGTACTCTTTAATGTGTAAACTATTTGTGATTCTGAAAAGAGGGAAATTTCTTCTTTAACATTAGATAATCTACCTTTCATTCTCAAATTTTTATTATTTCTTATCTAGAAAAAGAGCAAGTTGCAAACACTTCTGTTGACCCAATATTGTTTTTATCTGTTGTAGCAAAGAATAACATGAAGTAGAATTTTCAAAATTGTGTATGTTTTTTTTTCTTTGTTGAAATCTAAGAGGAAACTATGAGTGTTAGCCTTAGAAAGTGTTAAGACACATCTACCTTGGAAAAATTCAGTAACTGATGAAAATTTTTTTCTCTAAATGAAATGAGTATAAAGTAGTCTGTATCCATGTCCTCACACATCTTCTATAATTTCAAAAGATGCTGGTTTGCACACGAAGAAATGAGTCTCACTATTTTATGGTCATACCTTATATGGACCATAGAAGGATAGTCTTCCTTCTAGGAATTAAGGGTTTAAATTCAATGATTTTAAACTTATGGACTTACTGGGACCATGTGTTGGATTATTTAATTCCTACATTTTTCAAAGGTAAAGACATTCTTTGAAAGTGTTCACATATGAGCAGTTCTATTATTACTGTGTCCTTTGTTTTCTGAAAGGATGTAGCCACTTGCTGACTGTTTTGAACTATTTTTTTCTCCCTCGGAATTCTCTAGATTTACATGTTTTCTTATCCTGCATGTAGTATTTGCAAAATGGCCATGGAGAACCCTCCATTTTAGTCAGTTTCCTAATAGGATGGAGGCTGTGGTGTCAGCCCAATAGCTCAGTTGATCAGCTCACCTCAGCACCGGGGAGAATGCTCTCAGGTTCAGTTTTCAGACACAAGGCCGTTGCCCAAGACACTGGCTTCTCAGGCAGCTATACCACCACCTGCCGCCAGCACAGGAAAGCACGGTTGGACCAGCGTCTGGTCTTGTGTTTGTGGCCACAGAAATGCAATCTTATCGACACATGCAGAGTGGGTCAGGTTTTCCAGAGACCAGCCGGCATAACACTTTCCTCCTTTGTCTTAAGAACAACTGTGCAGCAGGCCCGGCGGTGGCCAGTGGTCTGGGCCTTCCCTGTCTCCATGGGGACGTGAGTGTGCAGCCTACCCTGGGGGATGATGGTCTCCAGGCTCAATTCATAAAGGCCTCAGAGAAACTCGAGAAAACATCTTGATCCCACAACCACAACCGGCTCTCTGATCATTAACGGAGTCAGGTCCTCTGCCTTCAGGGCCCCACACCCCTTCCCTGTCCAGGCTAAGCACCGCCACATTCTGCCGTCTCTGGTCGTTGGAGGACAGTCACCCTGCCTTGTCTTTCCCGGCCTGGACATTCTGCCGTCAAGGTGCAGATGTTGCTTGTCACTTCTCATACATGAACTTGTGTACTGAATTGATGAGAGGGAAGTACTAAAAGGAAGTTTGATATTTCCCAGAATTGTGAGCCTGCACTGATTTGTACTTTTTATAACCAGTAGTTATTCCCAGAGGAGCTCCGATCAAGTTGTAAGTGACTGGTTATAGTTAATATGGGCAAATATGGTAATTGTGTTTTAACACTGACCCAAAGTGGCAGTGTACCAGTCTCTCTACAGGGCATTGTGCCTGATACTCAATATAATGTGCTCAGCGCCGACCACCTAGTGCTAGAGGTGAAAACTAAATCAAGCTGGGTAATCAGTCTTAACAATGTAACTGGTTATTGGCGCCTCTGCCTCATCATCCATTCATGTTCTTGCTGATGCCTTTGCTTTAAAGCAAACCTTGCATTCACAGCTGCAGCTCCTTCTGCCCTTGGCCGTGCATCCCAGACGTGCACCTTGCAGCCAGGAACAGACACCTAATAGGCGGGCACTTGGTAAACAAACAGGCCTGCAGAAGGCTGCCTGCCGCGCCTGCTTTGAGTAACGCTGTAGTGTGATGACACTGCTTCTTGGGAAAATTCTGGAGGCAATGAGGAGAGGAGAATTGATTGGGAAGATTATCCTCCTACCTTCAAGCAGTAGGACATAAGGAAGGTTGTTTTGCCACATAGAAAACCGGATGGAAAACACAAGTGGTCCGTGTTTGGTGTTTGTTTGATTTTAACAGTTGGTGACATGCATTCACTTTGCGTGTTACCCTCGTGGTAGCACATACCTTTGCATGTCAGCATGAGAACGTGATTTCTAGTCCAAGATCTTCTAGCTGACGGGGCTGCTATCACAGTACATGAGTGCAGCTGACCAGGGTCCAGTCAGGAGGCGCTTCAAGGCTAACGAGCTGTTGTCATCACTGTTGGTTTGCAAATGAAGTTGTCGCCAACATAACCGTCATTCCAAGATGCCATTCGCCTTAAAAATATGTATTGTCTTTGATACATTTGTCTCACAAGTATGGTGCTTTGTTTGTTTGTTTGTTTGTTTTAAACCAAAGAAGGGGGCTTTTGATGTTTTCATTACCCTTTCTGTTTTACACCTTTCTTTGAGGACTCCCTTGTGAGAAAGGAAGGATACTCCTGCTAGAGATGCATCAGCAGACATGGACCACCGTGTTCCAGAAGTGTCAGCCTTTGAACCGGAGATTGTTCTGACCCTTTTCTCCTCTCAGTATTCCTCTTCTTGGGACTCTGCCTCTTGAATGTGACCATCTCAAATTCAGACAAGCATCAACTTTAGCATTCATAGAAAAATGTTAGCGTGCAGGCATTTGGGTGCTATTGTATTTACAGGTCATCTCTTTAGGTTATTTTTGTTCCTAGTAAAATACCATGATGGGAACATACTATCCTCAGTAAACTGTAAGTTATCAGGGAAAAAATCTTTGTGTTAGAGCGTAATTGATTCAAAGTACCACAAACCATTTTAATGTGAGAAGCATGTGTTTTTCTTTTGCTTTGTGCAATAGAATCTTGGGTCAGTTGCTTCAGTTCTAAATGGGATGTCAGTGATGCTTTGTGATCCTCTGGCCCCCAAAAGAAGCGAAACAGTTTTTTTCAGTATTTTATGAAGGATGACATTCATATCTAGCAATGAATAAGAAAACGTGTTTAAAAGCCATTTTACAGTCTAGACTATTTTGGAAGTATATCTAGGCTTGCGCCCTGCAGTCAGCACAAGGGCAAGCAAAAAGCAAGGATACAAGGGCCATGGGCCCTGCATCTTTAGATCTGAGGGTTTCATTGCAAGTAGGAGCCATCGTGTGCATTGCATTTGAGCCTGGGTACAAGACTGGTCTGAGCTAACCTCTTGTTCCAGCCATCACCCCCTTGCTAGAACATTCTCTTTCTTCAAGAAATACATAAAGGTAATTTTTTTTTTTTTAGCATCTTGGCAACCCTTACTTGAACCCTTAATAAGCCTAACTTTGGTTTTCACCCACAGATGAAACCATAAAAATCAAAATAGAAACTTAAAATTGAATGTAAGGTAAACCAAGGATTTTTCAGAGTTACTTCATGTATTCCTCTTTTGTGAAATTAGCTCATTTTCCAGATTAAAAAAAATAGATGCTAGGAAAGGAAGCTGCTTGAGAAATCGAGGGGGAAAATTATTTTTATTAAATTTGGCAAAGTGGATTTTTACATTTTGTGATGTATTCTTCATTCCCTACAAGTTCTAATGATTCATTTATCCTTTCGTTAAAATGGTAAGATATCAATTGATCTCGGCTTTTTGAGAACTTGTAGAATGAGACATGTGTTATGTTTGTGCAAAGATTATTAAACTTTAAGTTCTTAATGTAGAAATTTCCCTTTGGGTTATTAGTGATATCTCACAGGTCTAATTTTTATTACAAATTTGGCCTTCATTAAAGCTATTTGAAGCTTGTTCCAGATGGCACAAGCCTCTCCAAATAAACCAATCTTAAAATAAATTTTTGTTATTAACTTGCTTTAAAAAAAAAACTAATGTCAAGGAATCTCACCTTTCTACCAATTCGACTTTTTTTATTAGGAAGTCTTAATGTACAGGCCAAACATTTTGGTTCATTGGCTGAGTACTTTGTGATTGTATTCAAACAACACTTAGCTCTTCATTAAATTAAGATTATTAACTAAACAAAAAATGTGCTAAAAGAACTTCAGAGTTCACCAAACAGGTAGAAACTACACACTGATTTTCTTTCTGTAAGTCGGATGGTGCCAGGTGGTATCCTTACTCAGTTATGAATAGAAGGTATTTAATAAAGCTTAGTTGTATCTCCTCGAACTTGGGAAGTTGGGTCCCGCCATTGCTTATAAACTCCAATGGTGATTCTTTCCTTTTCACAGTGCTCCAGCTGAGACTGCAGCAAAGGAGGACAAGGGAGCAACTGGTGGACCAGGGCATCATGCCACGTAAGATTTAAGCATCACTGTCACCTCCAGTGTGATGTAACAAAATGCACATGTCTGAGGAGAACCTGGAGCACACTCTGCTTTGGGCTGTGTCCATTGAGTCAATATACAATTACCAAATGAGCTGATAAGGAAAACCAGGCATTAGCATTGCCAACCTAAGAGAATCATCTCAAATACGTTCTGAAAACCATATGCAGCTTAAAAGATGGGCTTGAATTCTGTATTACGTAACAAAAACTGGGAAACTAGGTTAAGATCAGGTCTTCATGCATGAACATTTGTTTTAGTTTTGAAACAATTAAAGTCATCTCTACGTAATAGGTCCAGTGTGACTTAGACTTGCAAAAGTAACATGATAAAATTAATTCAAAAACCTTGTTCTACTTTATTTAATTCAAAATAATTATCTTTGGTACAATATAGTGTGTGGTCTGTAACGAAGTGCATCTCAGTTATAGGACTAATAAGCATTCTATTTATAATTAATAAACCCTTTCTTGCCCAAGTGCACATAATTTCCAAGTATCTTGAGGCCTCTTTCCTTCATTTTTTAGAGTTGGTTAATTCTAGAATATTTGCCCATTGTGTTCTTACCTTTACGCACTAAGTTTGGGGGTGATTTTATATTTTAGAGGGGAATACTGGTTGCTTTGGTGTTAGGATTATTTATATGGATGTTCACTTAAAACTCGATTTATCCAAAAAGTAACTTATTTGGCTTTAAAAGACTAAAGAGAAATTACAAAATGTACTTATGCTTCCCTGTCCTCTGAATCATTGATATTACTTTTTTTTGGTTCATAGAACAGTTTTTCTCCGCAGTAGATATTTTTCGCAATAAAACTTTTTTTCTGGACTACTAATAATTATCTAAATACTTTCAATCTAGTATCATGATAGACGCAAAAGCTGGTTTGGTGATCTGCCAGATTTCTCTACCACTACATTCCTGACAATGAACCAATCAGATAGTATCAAATTAGGATGTTTAAGACACCACCACTAGTCCACTGTTGGGAGCTGGTCCCTAGTCAAACCCATTTGGGCTGGGCTCCTGGGAAACTTTGTGGTGCTTCAAGTACCAGAGCTGAAAATAATTCTGCCAAGAGCCGATAGGCCAAGTTTTGGAGGTGACAACCCAAGTAAGCATAGCCCAAATCCCGTCCACATTATCTGACTGCCCGGAGTTATAAGTGGATATACACACAAAAGGTTTTGCAAAGATAATTGATAGAAATACTGTAGTAAATGATGTTTTAACAAAAGATTGCTTATCCACACTCTGGGATTCTGGAATATTTAAAGTACTAATCGTTAACATATTAAAGAAGCCCTGTCTTTAGAGTAAGTTGTATTATTGTAGTACAATAGGAAGAGCATGGAACTTTGTAATTCACAATTCTAGATTTAAATTCTACTTTGACCACAGTCTAGTTGTATGACTTTAAGAATTCATTTAGGGGCGCCTGGGTGGCTCAGTTGGTTAAGCGACTGCCTTCGGCTCAGGTCATGATCCTGGAGTCCCGGGATCGAGACCCACGTCGGGCTCCCTGCTCGGCGGGGAGTCTGCTTCTCCCTCTGATCCTCCCCCCTCTCATGCTCTCTCTCTCTCAAATAAATAAATAAAATCTTTAAAAAAAAAAAAAAAAAAATTCATTTAACCTTTTTGAGCCTTTTTTATCTGTACTGGGGCTAATACCTACCTTGCAAGGTGGTAGTGGTGATCAACAGTGATGTAATTGTGATGGACCACAGCGCACAGGGCTATGAGCACATGGGATCGCAGTGAATGGTAAATGGTAACTAAGCTCTGCTAGACGCAAAGTGCAGAGAGCCCTCGTTTTCAAGATTAGATCACTCCTACGTTAAATGTCCTGAGGATATTTGGGCTTTTTCCAGCATCTTATAGGGCCATTAAGAGCAAAGCCCTGTCAAGGAATCACCACACAGTTCCCTTGGTGGTGGTAATTTGGCCCAGCTATTGGCTGCAGCCGTCTGAGCTGGCATTTGCATTGTCATTATGTATACAGTTCTAGTTAAATGTTCACTTGTTTTATTTGTGAAGACATAATTTTAATTCTGAAACATTTACGTTTTTAAATTTCGCACATCTCCTAAAAGAACTAGTAATAAATGGAACTGTAGATACAAACTAATAAGATTAAGAGGGAACATGGACATAATGTACCCTAACGTTTGACTGAAATATTAACACCTCTCTCTCTACTCCCAAAATGATTCCTGTTCTTCTCACAGCTTTGAAGAGCCCAGCTGCATTCCATGAGCAGATAAAAAGCTTGGAACGAGCCAGAGTAAGAAATTTCGGTTTCAAATGTTCTGTGCTTCTTCTCTCTTTTATTTTAAAGTACCTGTGGGCAAGTAGCAGTCTTCCTCCTAAATATTATCAGTAGAGAAAATGCAGTGTAGTTTCAGGACACATGGCATGTAGAGTAATATATTCTGGGGTGGTTTTATCTTGGAAGTTTGTAGAAAATGCATGACGTTCACATTTTGTTCATTTAAAACTTGTAACTAGTTTTGTACATAAAGGATAAATCACACCTCACTTTGTTGCTTTCAGGGCATACCAACAGTTTTTAGAATAATAATGGAGTAGTTCTGCCATTTGTAACCCCTGCAGACCAACAGCCCAGTGATGTCCTGACTTCCCCATCTTTAGGTAGTTTCTTTACTGGGCCCGTGGTAGCTGTACATTTGAAGGGCAGGAGGATTTGCTGAATAAAAGAATGTTGTGAGGTTCAACTCTGCTTTACTCTTTGAGAGGTTTCCATCTTTTTTGCACATCGATTTCGTGTTTATTACTTTTCTTTTAAAGGACCCTTATGCACATTCATTCTTTTTCCTTTGCAATATGAAAATAAGCATGTTCCAAAAATTCCACAGGAATTTTCCCAGAATGCAATAATGGTCTCTTAGAATCTTATAAAATATAAAACCCATTTGAAAGCCTTATTGTTCAAGTTGAGGATTGTTCTGAATAAGAAAATATGATCAAGGATATGAATTCACCAACAAACATACATTAGGATTTTAAAGAAATTTGTCATTTAGGGGCGCCTGGGTGGCTCAATCGTTAAGCGTCTGCCTTCGACTCAGGTCATGATCCCGGCATCCTGGGACGGATCCCCGCATCAGGCTCCCTGCTCCGCAGGAAGACTGCTTCTCCCTCTCCCACTCCCCCTGCTTGTGTTCCCTCTCTTGCTGTGTCTCTCTCTCTGTCAAATCAATAAATAAAATCTTAAAAAAAAGATTGTAATTTAGGTGGATTTTTATTTGACCTGAAGTATAGATGTTTAGCTATTTAAATGATCAAAATCCTATGTCTGTTCAAATTAAGAGCTTTTGCCTTTTCCAGGTTTTAAAATAAAAGTCTGTAAAGTGCTTACTTTATGCCAGCAGGCACTTCAACCCTGTATGGTCTTGAAGTCTGCAATTTAAATTATGTATTGGATAATAGCTTTTCAAAGTACTAATTTCTCCCCAAAATCATGACCAAAGAGTATACAATTTATTTAAATGGAGTACCTTGAGAGAAAAATGTAAAACCACAAAAAGTCATAAACAATTTATGGTAAGTCTCTTTTTCTCTCTTTTTTAAAGACTGAAAACTTTTTGAAGCATAAGATTCGGAGCCGACCAGATCGTTCTGAACTTGTCAGGATGCACATTTTAGAAGGTAAAATTTTTATTTCTGCTTATTTTGCTGTGTTTTCTCAAAAAAAGAAGTGAGAATTCCACCATTGCTGTTTATTCCCACTTTAGTAACTTTTTACCCGACAGGCTGACATCCTCCAAATTGGAGAGCAACATGAAGACCCAAAGCTAAAATGTTATGTTAGATACATGGGGAAGGGGGTTTTGATTCTCCAAATAACCAATTTGTGGACTGACTCTTCCCCCACCAACTGGTGCCATAGATGTCTCTACCATCTGTTCTGGAAAAACATTTTTGGTCCAGCGGATGTCTTCATCAGTGAAGAACATATGCCCGTTAAATCATGAAGGGTACAGTGGCCACGAGTCTAACCCTAGATTTTCACTTTTTTTTTTAAATTTTTTTATTGTTATGTTAATCACCATACATCACATCATTAGTTTTTGATGTAGTGTTCCATGATTCACCACCTGTGTACAACACCCAGTGCTCCATGCAGAACGTGCCCTCTTTAATACCCACCACCAGGCCAACCCATCCTCCCACTCCCCCCCCACCAGAACCCTCAGTCTGTTTTTCAGAGTCCATCGTCTCTCATTAACCCTAGATTTTCAGCTACCTAGACTCAGTTATGTACCTGGTGCAGTGCCCACACTTAATGTCTTCTCTTTGTTGTTACTTACCCACAACAGTCCCGCTTGATCTGACCATTAACATAAATACCCTCCACTCAGGCCTCTGGGTTTTCTCGATGGTCTAGCCTCATCACTTGTGAAGCGATGGTAGGGACAGTTCTGTTCCATCTCTCGTGAGACACGCAGCTTAGGCCTGGATGTTTTTCTCTCTAAGACAGACCATTCTTAAAAGCTGGTTTCCTCACTGTAAGTTCCCAAGTTACATTTTCTTTTGTTGTTTTGCTTCTCTCATTTATTGAGCAAGACCAGGAGCTTGACCCTGTGATAGTCTTGAGTGTTTTCAACCCTGAGATGACACAGAAAGAATCTGAAAATTTTTCAAATTGAGAGACAGTTCTCAAGTAGAAGGAATATTATATTTGTTCTTCTGGCCTAGTGATAGAGTTAATATTAGAATTAGGTTGGTATTACAAAGTATTAGATTGTTGCTCAACATAAGAAATAATATCCTAAAGGTCAGACATGTCCAAAAATCTTCTGGAAGTGATATGGTTACCCTCATTTGAGGTGGTCGTTCATTGGCCAAAGAGCTAGACCCCAGAGACCCAACAAGTGAGCCAGATGGATGCCTACCTGCATGAAGCTTACATTCTGGTGGCACAGACAGATAATAAACAGGCAAAACAAATGAATTACAGATTGTGGAAAGTGCTCAATAGGCAAGAAAACAGGCTGCTGTGATAGGGACTAGGACAGTAAGGACATTGTAAAGAAATTCCAAGGATCAAATTGGTATCTATAGCCCAAAGTGGGGTCTCTTCTACTCCAAAGAATCTACATATCTGGGGTGGGAGGTAAGAGGTCTGTGCCTTTCACTACTTTCGGTTGTGTTCTCAGAAGTCCAGAACTTTCCCAGAACTGCAGTGTTAGGGTGGGAACAGCTACCTGCTGTCAGGGATAAATGAATCTTCAAGAGGCAAATGTACTGGTAAGTAACTGGACAAATGGCTCCTTCTGTGCCTAAAAAGATCTTGACCTAGAAAGGACATTTTTGAAGGAAAAATGCTGTCTGTTTCAACTTGCCTTCTAACTGTAACAGGCTTTATTAATATCATTAAAACAGGGCAAATACATTTAACTTGATATCAAAAGGAATCATATTTGTTTTTCTAAAATAAAGATAACCCAACATTTAAAAACCTAACTATGTATATGAATAAACCATAAGTGATGTTTTTAGGACATCTGTTCTCAAGTTGGGATTTTTGAAGTAAGAAAGAATATATCATTTGTAATTTAAAAAATAACTTCAAACCACCCCCCAACTTATTTTTAACATTATCCCAATTTTGATTGAATTGGATGTTTGGCAGGCAAAAGTCTAAATTATTTTTCTGAAGTTCAGCTAAAATTCAGCCTCAGCGCCAGAGAGATGAGGAGATAAGACCACGATCAGAAACATAACAAAATGCCAGCCTCTCTTATTTGCTTTTGGGATATTTTCATTCCAGACGTATTCCTGATATTACTTGGATGTGTTGATGGGAGAGAGGAGAAAGACTATCCTACCTAGATCTTAACAAAGCATTTAAACATCCACCTGAGAGTGACCTGAATGATCATCTTTCTTGCATAAACCACAGCTGTCATACATCATCTACAATTTCCATTTAGTGTGGAAAAAACAACATAAAGACCCTTGAAAAGCAATCTGAGTTGAAAATCCTAGATTTTACCATTTTCCCAAATATTTTAGTTGTTAATTACCCTAATTTGACAGTGATTTGTTTTTTAATGACTCACCTTTATCAAGTCATCCCAAAGCATTTAAGTTAGGTTCCCAAGAAATAATTTTATTTTTGAAGTTTATCATTTTCCTATAACATTTAGTTCAATGATGTATTGACATCAGATATGAACTGATAAGAACTGTTTTGTGGACAATCAAGGTTGACTTTCGGTAAGCATATAACTCAACTGGTGAAACGAAAAGTGTTCAGATGTGCTGGACAGTAGTTTATGGGCTATGGGCTTTTGGCGAGCTTTCGGCTTCAGCCAGGACATTTTACCTGCCAAAAAAAGAACATCAGTGGATGTTCTGGATCACACCAGTGATCCAGAGATCCAGAGATTACTTATTACTTATTACTTATTTCATTCTTCTTCTACTATATAATTTAAGAGGCAAGTAACGGTCAACTCAGAATTTTGGGTTAGCACCTCACCATTTTTTATCAGTTATAAACATTATTGAGAACAAAATAATAAAATGTTGGGGGCGGAGCAAGATGGCGGAGGAGTAGGAGACCTGGATTTTGTCTGGTCTCAGGAATTCAGCTGGATATGGACTAAACCATTCTGAACACCTACGAACTCAACAGGAGCTCAAAGAAAAGAATAGCGACAACTCTCTGAACAGAAAAGCGACCACTTTCTGGAAGGTATGACGTGCAGAGAAGTGAATCTGAGGCGGGAGGATAGACGGCGGGGGAGGGGGCCTCCGTCGGCCGCTTCTGGCAAGTGCTAGAGCCGCGGAGCACAAAATCGGAACTTTTAGAAGTGGGCTCCGCTGAGGGACGTCACTCCAGTGGCTAAGCTGGGGGTGGAACCCTCGCGGGACAGT